GTTATACGGATGCAGTAGAAAATTTGTACAACATTGAAAATGATGATGATAATAATGAGAATGAAACAGTGGTAAACGATGACAGTGATGAGAGTTGTGACACTGAATAATTTTTATTATTCTTTGTATTTTTTTTTTTCGCAATAAAAATTACGTGGATCAAAAAATTTTTTTTTCTTTGCAATAAAAATTATGTAGATTGACTTTTTTTTTAAAAACAAAGATTTTTCGGTTTCAATTGCAACCTGTTTTATAAAGTGGAACATTTGCCGTATGACACAATTTTTGCTAAATATGGTGAAAACGTTGATTGTGCCAAAAACTGAAAATACCAGGCACGGCTAGACACAAAAGAAGACAATCGGTGAGAAAACTGCATGAAGTCACACAACTTGCGAGTTTTGGAAGGAGATCATGACATGGCAAATGTTAAAATCTTTTTTCTTTGTTAATAATATATATATATAATCATTTTTTTTTGAACCAATTTTTAAGCCCATCAATGTTAACCTGGGGAAATGGCATAGATTTAGCTTGTTCTTTTAATCTTTAGAAAAGACTCTTCTCTGCAAGAGTATTATTTACACTGATGTTTATTATGTTTGCTTCAATTAACCTGTTCCAATAAGATTAGTTTATTAAAATTATTGGTTTTGTAATCATTGTTGAAATTATTTTATTACATTTTTCATCTAATTAATCATCAGACAAATCATCATTTATTAATTCATTGTGATTGATTTTTGAACAACAATTCTTACAGATGTTAGAAGTACTTTCTTTTATTTGACGTAAAAAATTTAATTGTTCTTGAGGAGAAGGTGCCAATTCAATGGAATCTCTACGAAATCCAATTGTATTTTTTTTCACTCTGAGATTAAAAATTTTAAAGTTAGCACGCACAATTGTAACAACTGCTAATTTTTTCATGCTAATATAGTTAGTTATAAATATTTCAACCATTGGAGGAAAGTAACTTTTTGTGAATTTCTATCTTGCCTTAGAAAATTAGGTAGCAAATGTCAGAATACCTGTGTGATTTCACTCTCATCATCTTCTCCCAAATTATAATACACATCTTCATTTTCATTTTTATTGGTTTTGATCTGTGTGCATATCAACAATGTAAGTTTTGAGAAACGAAATTAATGTAGATTATGTAGACTAATTATTATATATGCCAACCTTTTTGGCCATCTCAGTAGTAACTGAATTTGTGTCCTCAAAATCTAAGGTGCTATCATGAGAGCACTTATCATACACTAATTTCAGGACCTGGTCATTGTAATTGGTAAAGATTTTTTGTGATTGAAATTTGCTCACCCCACCCAACAATTCAAGACTTTCTGTATCAAGAATATTCTTTAGCCTAAGCTATTATGATGATTATAGGCATTTCCTTCAGAAGGATTCATTTACAAGCCCAAAAACCAGTAGTATTCACTCATAGCCTACCTGTTTCCTATCCGATATCACCTCAGACCAAAAATAGCACAAGGTAGAGTCAGCATGTTCTGAATTCACCTTTTGAAATATATTAGACTGTTAGAAGGTTACATTCTTAACTGTTTTAATATCTCAATCATCCAAACAGAAACAAAACAAAGCGAGATGCGAAGATGGGGATCAGGAAGATTACTGGTACTTCAGATCTGGTAGATAACGAATCAAAAGCTTCCACCATCAACAATTGGGTCAGAAAGATTGCTGATACTCCAGATCCAGTGGATAACAAATATGAAGCTCACTTTTCACTAATTAAATTAAAATAATATTAACATCTTTTTTACAATATTATTTAACATTGGGCTTAGTGCATTCACTTCCTGCAGAAATCTTCTAGACCACACACCACCAAGACCACTCCAATCATCTACAAATGGTGGCACATCGACGATAACAGCACGGTTTAGTTCAAAAAATTTTAAGTATGATCAATGTTTAGAATTCAGTTTTTTTCCAAGTAGTTATGAGAGCTATCAAGGAAGATATATAATTAGTCTCTATCTTATTGTTGTTTGAACTGGTGATTATTGCATTTACCTGAGTGACCAGTGGATATTTCATCATTGGTTTTAGTACTATTGTTAGAATTAGACATGACCTATTATATAGGTTTTTTTTAAAAAAAAAAATTTCTGATAGTGGAAGTTTGTTGTTACACGAAATGTTATATTGCTCCTAAAACTTCACCAGGGCTCGGACAATTATAATTGAACTGGTATTGAGAAAAGTGGGTAGTGATCTCGTTAAAACACCAGTCAGATCTTCAAGCATTTACATAATAAAAATTAGAAAAAAACTACATTGAATTGTTAATGAATATTTTGACTTTTTAATATTTTTGGTGATGATCACCATTAGCTAGAGGTTTTATTTTCAAGAACTGGTTTTAATTACCTTCTCAAATCAGAACCAGTTTTAAACCGAATTTAATAACATCAAACGAAAGCAAAAGTTATTTAATTATTTGCTTCTTCCAATTTATTTTACACCTCACTAATGATATAGTAGGTAAAAAAATATATAAATGGGTACTTGCTATTGTAGATATCGCCAGTAGATTTAAATATGCTATTTCACTCACTTCTAAAAATAGTTCAGAAGTTGCTAAAGTTTTTAAGAAAATTTATGAAAATCCTCTTACCTGGCCTAAATTGCTCCAGGTAGATGGTGGCAGAGAGTTTATGGGCGAAACTTCAAGATTAATGCAAGAAAATAATGTCACAATTCGAGTAATTGGTCTATATTCCCATTCGGGACTCACAATCATGGAAAGATTTAATAAAACACTTGCAGTGATATTATATAAAGTCCCAATATGCTGTCGAATCTATACCTTCAAACCCAAAATTAATTAGAGCATGGGTTAAGCATTTACCAAAAGTTCTAGATTACCTAAAAAATGTCTTATTAGAGCTCCGGGTTCTTCGAAATAGGACTGGCCCCTATAAAAGCCATCAGCTTGGAAAGAGTGGAATCTATATCAAGCCCTAGCTTATGCTAAGAAACGTGGTGAAAGTTGTCCTGAAAAAACCGGTCGAATTAATGATCAGGAAGTATTTTCTGGTCTTGCAAGATTCATCAGTGGGAGCATTAGCCAATTGTAGCAAAATACTAATACCCATTAAATATAGGGTCCGTTTAAACCTTTAAAATAATTACTATTAAACTATTTTATAAGTTCTTTATTAGTGCTTTGATACACATCATGATGTTGTTATTTTATATATCATAAAAATTGTGCTCAAGTTGAGCAATTAAATTTTCATTAGGCTTTTGACATGGACTCTGACCTTTATTCGAAAAAATTACTAACTTGAAAAACTACATGAATATATTCTTTTACTAAAATACAATTTCATAAGATAAAACAATTCTCTAAAACCTATGTTTAGATCCATATCCAAACCTTGTAGTCATCACTATTTCCAGTATGCTGAACAATTACCCTCTTTGCTGGTGGAGTACATGGTAAATATTTCTGATCAACTGGGAGTTGGATAGCGCCAGGCATGATTTCAAGAATATGGCACAATTCCTCATCACTATACCTTTGTCCATACTCTATTACCTTCTGTCACCCGCTCGTTTTCATGTGCAGTAAATTCACCATTGTCAAGTAAATTATAGAAAAATAAGAGGTTAAATTCGACCTCATCATCAAGATCAAACTTAACATCAGTGATGTGCTGAAAGGCAGTTTTTCTGAGGTATTCTGGTGTTGAAGAGGGCCACCTGAAGTTCTTACCCACATGAGCTACAAATGAGTTAGGAAACAAACATCAAAAACACGATGTATTGCAACTATGCTATTCATGTATACAAAGAAAATTATGAACTTTACCAAGAAACCTTTGTGCTTGATCAAGGTCATAACGGTTGTCTCATTTGAGAAGACTTTGGAGTGTTTCAGGTGGATTTTGTTCCTGAATTGCATTAAATAAAATGAAAAGTCTAAAGAGACATTGATCAGTATATATGGTTTTCACAAAATATGTATTTATTTTACTTATTAAAGAACATACCCAGAAAAGGGAATCCAAATAGGTGAGAACACGAGTATAAATGGAAATACAAAAATAATAAAGAGCAATTCATTTTTTGCATTTTAGTTAATACAAGTCGTATTTGGAATATATATTTCTTTTTATAAAGTATACTTACTATCTTGTGTAGAAGAAATTCGAAAATCATGGAAATTTTGTATGCATAATCACCTGTGTTACCTATTATTACCTCATGATACATTTCTTAGCATAGTGGAAGTTGTTGTTACGCGAAACGTTATATAGAACCCATTGCTCCTGAAACTTCACCAGTATATAGTTGTTAGTTACCTCTCTAAATTGGAGATCAAGTTCAGATCCAATTTATCACTTACTTTTTTATTGCCAGAATGTTTTCCGTGTATTGTAAAGTTACACTGCACGATATGTGTAATTTTTTTTATTCGTGCTAAATCGTTAAATTAAAATAAATAAATAAATTTTTTGCTAAATGATAATATGGTTGACTAATTTTGATGCTCCGATCGAATCGTGTGTTTTTGTATGATTTCGTGCTCACGTAGTGTAAAACTTGATTGCTTGAAGATGCCATGGCTGAATGTGGAAGTTGAGTTCCGTGCGCTGAAATAGTCTGAGAGGAATTTTTCTATGAAAGAAAAAATGAAAAAAAAAATGGTGACGGCTGTCTTATTTATATGTTCTGAATTTAATAAAATAGACTATTGTCTTGGCCCGAGTGATGTCTTTTTTTTTTGCATTTTGCGGCGAAGAAGACGCAAAGCCCAATTTAAAATGAATGAATTTTGTTCTCGCGTAGCAGAAGCTCACACTGTGAACTTGTTAATAATAGAAAAAAAGTGTGGTCGAAAAAAAAATTACGTAGATCTTTTTTTTTTTTTCAGAAAAATAAAAAAAATTATTTTTTTTGAAATTACCACTCATCGAAAACAAAAAATTCTTTCCTATATAAAAAAAATCCCAACACTCCGCATCATTTGCACATAATCATCAGGCATTTCAAGTAATATTGGTGGTCGTAAACCTTCACATATATCAAAAATTAAATGATGATTGTGAGCTCTATTGTCAAATGGTGGATAACCTGCAAATATTTCCCACAAAGAATTTTTCTGATCATGCTTCATGCTTTCATTGCAATGCTTTAAATTAGATTGTAAGGAGAAGCAACGCAAGAAATGCAAAACATTTGCCGTATGACAAATTTTTGCAAAATATTAATATAGTGAAAACGTTGATCGCGCCAAAAACAGAGACGTAAAAGAGACAATCGGCAAAAACCCAGCACGACTTACAGTTTTTGGCAGGAGATCGTGACACGGCAGCCTTTTCTTTTGTGTTCAAATAATGTAACCAACCACTCTATTCATTAAACACAAAACCAAATTTTATTTTTTATTTTTTTTATATAATGTTATATGGTAAATTATTATCGTCATTATCACCAGAAAAAAGGGAATTTGTAAATAAAATTTATAATGGAATGCATAACGATGCAGTAATTAATTCTGATGAAAAAAGTAGAAAAGATTATTTTTTTTCATTAGTCCAAAAAAACAAAGAGCTTTCTGAAAATGAAAAAGAATATTATAAAGAAAAATTTATTTATGAATTTGAATTAAATAATGCAAAAAATAAAAAAGGAAAACCGAAAGAGTGTAGCAAGTGTAAATTGACAAGATACTCTGATAGGTTCTGTGAAGGTTGTATTAGTTTACAATTACAGAGTCTTTTCACCATTTGGACATCTGGAAATAACATAATTGATGATTTTATTCAACAATGTCAAATGAAATCATCTTTACCAGACTATATTTTGGAATGGATACCTTTTGAGCAATTTGATGATATAAAAAAGTTAACTGAAGGTGGATTTAGTTCAATTTACACTGCTGCATGGACAAGAGGACAAATAAATGATTACAATGAAAATAAAAAAATTTTTAGTTATTTTGGAAGACAAAAAGTAGTATTAAAAAGTTTAAACAATTCAAATAATCCAGGAAAACATTTTTTTGATGAGGTTGGTAGTTGTCATTTAAAACCAAAATAAACAATACCATGTTATATAATACTAATTGATTTTATATTTATTTTAGGCAATAAATTATTGTAAAATTAAATCAACATCAATTGTTAGATGTTATGGTGTAACCAAATTCCCAGATAATGGAAATTATGCAATAGTTTTAACTTATTTATCTGAAGGAAATTTAAGGAATTATTTACGAAAAAATCATTTAAATTTAACATTAAAAGACAGAATTACAATCTTTTATTATTTATGTATTGCATTATATTGGATACATGAAAAGGATTTAATCCATTGTGATTTACATAGTGGTAATATATTAATAAGTGGAGGCGGTTGTTATATTACAGATTTGGGATTATGTGGACCAGTTGATGAAAAATCATCAAATAAAGTCTATGGGATTATATCATATGTTGCACCTGAGCTACTTAGAGGCAAAAAGAACACAAAAGAAACAGATATCTATAGTGTTGGGATGTTAATGTGGGAAATATTTGCAGGTCATCCACCATTTGATGATAGAGCTCATAGTCGTGATTTAGTGCTTAATATATGTGCAGGTTTACGACCACCAATATTACCAGGAATGCCTGGTGATTATGCACAAATGATGCAAAGGTGTTGGGATGTAGATCCAGCCAAGAGACCACCTATTGAAGAGCTTTTGGAATTTGCTGGTAATCAACGAAAAGAAATTATCAATAATAATCATGATAATAATAGTATTAGTAGTATTGGCAGTAGTGATTCACAACAAGTGCACAAATCACATCCATTAGCATATCATACAAGTAGAATATTAAATGACGAATTTGCTAAATTGAATTTAAGTAATGATAGCTTATTAAATTATGAAATTTAAATAGTTGGTTAATTAATTAATTTAAATATGATTAAAGTAGTTGAGTCGGAGAATTGGGTAAATTGTTGATGGGTAGATAATTAATTATTTTTTATCATCTTTTATATTTATTATTTATTTTATTTGGTTTTTTTATTTCGAAAATAAATTCCTTCAATTCAGAATCACACCAATAT